AATCCCCTATTCCAGTCCCAGCTCCAGGACAGGTGTTTGTGTCAGTGAGCTCCATAACAGCCACCTCCATCTCCCTCTCCTGGAGTGTGTCCAGTGGGAGGGTGGCCAGTTGGGAGGTGGTCTGGAGACCCACTGACAGAGGCACTGATAGCACCAGTGGTCCTCTGTCTGGCACTACCTACACCATCCTCCAGTTGGACCCCTCCACTATCTACACACTCACTGTATCAGCCACTAATGTAGCTGGAACCACTGACAGCACTCCCATACTTTTCTCCACTGGTATTAACCCACTGCAGTCAATACTATGCTAGATACCTCCTTTGGTCTCAAATCCAGCCTCTGATGTTTGCCAAGCAGAGAGCATTGAGAGTATGTGTTCTCCTGAGACTAAGACAGACAACACAGGAGCAATCATTGGTGGAGTAGTGGCTGTGGCTGTGGCACTTATAGCTGCAGTGACAGTCATAGTCATTGTGGTTCTGAGAAGTCGAAGTGCAAATTATTCAACACCAAAGACTATGTTAGTATTTCCAGCAAAATGCTATCACTAAAATTAATATAGCATGGTACCAGCGTCATGTAAAGATAGAAAAAGTCTATTACATTTTCTTCCTTTTCAGGGGGTCAGTTGGTGCTCTGGCAACTACAAATCAATCAGTGGAGCTCTCCAAGTTCTCAGAGCCAACATATGCGTAAGTCTCTCCATATTATGAAATACTGTGAGATGATTTCTATACCACTGATGGCCTCACTCCAGAGATCCAGACCAGCTCCAGACAACCAGTAATAAGGCCTACAATGTAGTGAGAGGGACTGGAAGGACAGCTGAAGATGATTATGAAGTACCACAAAACCTTCCTCCCGCCACCACCTCTCAACCTACCACTACTGCTGCTGGAGACTCTCTCTATGAACCTGTGTGAAGTGTTATGTGATTATGTGGTAGTTGCGGACGTGGAATTATGCGCATGCGTAGTTTGCCGGGGTCGGAGCGATGCGTAATTGGTGGCGTGTTTACGCGGCGCTAGTAATAATATACAAGTGGAAAAATCATTTCTTCAAAATGAAGGGGTGATATAGGGATGGCTTGAAGCACCAAAAAGGAAGAAACAAGGGGTCATTACACAGCAAAGATGCACCAAGCTACATGACACCATCCCTATATCTTTGTCTCATAGTAAACTTTACTTGTGAACTATAATTATATAACACAAAGATATAGGGATGGTGTCATGTAGCTTGGTGCATCTTTGCTGTGTAATGACCCCTTGTTTCTTCCTTTTTGGTGCTTCAAGCCATCCCTATATCACCCCTTCATTTTGAAGAAATGATTTTTCCACTTGTAAACATCAAGTAACAGTTCAAAGAACACACTATATACTATAAAAGCTAAAATCTTGCTTGCGCTTGCTCTGGACTAGGGCTACAGGCTTATGCTGGGTCCTCAACAATGAAACAATGAAACTTGGTGCACTTATGTATTACGGTGAAAGAAGAATGTGAACCACGACAAACAGGTTGAAAAGATATACACAGAATGCCACTAATACTATGCCTTGCACACCATGCACGTGAATGCAGTAAAAAAAAATTTTAAATGGGATTGATTGCCCATCAATTGCAGTGTGTGAGTGTGATAGTGTACTGTGCCATAGCACAGTGGTTTGAGTTTGCCTTTGTGTTGTGTTGTGTTGTAGATTCGTACCCCTACCATCTGAGTTGCCCTGGTAGCTCAGTTAGTAGAGCGCTCAGCCTAGACTGCAGAGTGTCACGTATACTGCAGAGTGTCAGTAGATTGAGGACAGATCTATCCTAGGCATGTAGTTCACTTGACACATGCAACTTTTGATCAGTACCCTGGGTAATGTGATTGGTCAGTCCAACAATCAGACCACCTGTTTCAGTATTCATGATCTCACTAGAATCTCCAAATAAGGTGAGGCATGAAATCTTAGACTGTGAATATTGGTAGTGTGACAGAAAAGTCAACGGAAGGGCTGTTTCCGGTCAGCCTCAGTTTCACCATTTCTTGGAGTTAGCCCACCGCCTTCTTGAGCAGCTCAGTGAGGGTTGCCGGCAGTAGTTGGTTTGTCCGGCTGCCTGTCTGTCCGACGCTTATTCTGGCACTACAGGCTACGAGGCGGCCAATTAGCGATACCAACGGCTTCAGAACTACGGATGCGAGCCTGAATATTTTGGATCAACTGTAATATACGGACCATAAGCGCAACGGCTTCCGTAAGCGCCCACCATTCACACCGCGTACCGACGACGCCTACTAGCCCCGCCCCCCATTGTAAACACGTGGTTTAGCTAGCTAGCTAAGTGTATGCTTTTGGAGCAGTGGTAGCTTTGAGAAAAGTTGGTTGAGAAAAAAAGAAAAAGAAAGTGAAGCTGCTGCAACTGTGGGGATGCCACGGACCATCCAAGTCACTGGGGGTAGCGGAGGGCTATATCTCGTCTGAGGTTGGTCAGGACAACCGTCGCACACGCTCCGTGTCTCTCGCGCCACATGAATTCGTCCATATAGTACGTAACCATGTCTGCGTGAACCCCCTTCATTCTCTTGAACTTCGTCTTCACACGGTTGCAGTACGACTCGACGTTCTGGGTGTGAACACCAGTCGCGGGGTCGACTAAGTTCAAAGAGTGGTTGACGGTGCCGTGTCGCTACTCTCCTTCAGTGGAGGTTACAAAGAAGAAGAAGAAGAAGTTGGGTCACTGGGCATGGGGCCAGCTGCTGGACGGGACCGCGTCGTCGGTACGTACGCGGTGTGAATGGTGGGCGCTTACGGAAGCCGTTGCGCTTATGGTCCGTATATTACAGTTGATCCAATATTTTTCCTGAAATGACTGTTCGAGAGAGCCGTGAAAAAGCTAAAAAGCCAATATGCATAATCAAACTGGGCTTACCGCTACCTGGTTCGCTCTCTCTGTGTACCTTGGAGGCACAAGAAGTCACAACAAAGGGTGTGTATCGACTCCTGCATGCTATCTACTAGTGTAGCTAGCCCGCGTTAGACTTTCCGCGAGCTATATACAAGTAGCTAGCCGCATACTCTTGGGCCAAACCCCCATCAATTAGCGGTACCGCACATGCGCAGTGCACCGAGAGTTTGCAGTTTCAGTACTTTTCATTTCAGCTGGGTTTACGTGTTTCGCATACATATGCACATAAGGTATACAGAAAACCAATGTTTTATGCCTTGCTCCCCCTCCCCTCGACACTGCCTACACGAAGTCTTTTCAACCATCAAATAGAATTTGTTCTCAACCCTTTTTGGAGAACAATGCAATGTTTCTGCCTCCGAATGTGAATAAGAAAAGGCGGCAAGATTACTGCTCCCGATTCCACTCCACCTGCCAACGACAATGACTGAGAACTTGCAGCAGCGGCAGTGACAGCTGAGTAGTAGTAGGATGGCAGCTGCTATCTCGACATGCCACTGCAGATCATACCACTGCAGTGTACTTGAGTAAATCTTTACTTGATGGGCAATGCATGCTTGCCCTAGAGACACACTATATACCTACTCATGCGTGTTCTACTCGAACATTGCCAAGATAATGTTACAGCATGCATGTACACAAAACTAAGACAGTGTAAGCAGGCAGACAACATGGTGTTTAGTTCGACTTTATCACCAGTATAATTATACAAGGTGAGATTGGAAGCAAAATCAGGGGAAAAGAAGAAATTCTTCAACGAGCTCGAGATAGGGGTAAAAGACGAAGCACAGAGCAAGACAAGAGGGAAAATACGAAATTTTGGAGCAAGATGTAGGGGGACACAACGAAGGAACAGAGCGAGATGGATGAAAAAGAGGAAATGTTGGAGCGAGATAGGGGAATAATGGAGTGAGATTTATAGAGAGTAGACGAAAGGTACTAGTTTTGTGTAGAAAAGGCCAAAGTAACCTCAAAGGATAGCCAAAACCTCCACACCAGTCAATGTTACATTAACCAATCACTCATTCACAAACAGTACATTTACACACCCACACACATCACATTCACACAGCAAGACCAGCTAAAAAAAGTAGTATATACCTATTGCTATAGAGTGCAGGTAGTGTATATAAGTGTAAATAGTGTGCCTATCGTTCATTTGTAGAGACTATTTCTTGACTGACTTTCTGGCTGCTTTTGGGTCAGCTTTTCTCCACAGGACTATCTCCTGGGGAGAGAGGGGGAGGGAGGGGGAGGGAGGGAGGGAGGGGGAGGGAGGGAGAGGGAGGGAGAGGGAGGGGGAGGGAGGAGAGGGAGGGAGAGGGAGGGAGGAGAGGACGTACTGAGCCATAAGCTATAAACGTAGGAGACAAATAAGTGGGGAAACGAGAACAAATCCTTTTGTATTGCTAGTCAATTGCATCAACGTAGGCACTGCTCAATTCAAACAAACTGCTTCAAACTTATATAGACACAGTGTGTATTATATAGGAACCCCCTATAAGGACACCCCTGGGATGTGGACACCTCTCAAGGACACCCTTTCTTTCCCCTGCAGCAGTTCTCGAATGAAACTCAACCCCTGAAATGAGGACACCTTGCTAAATGGACACCTCTTTCGTGCCATTTTGTGTCGGTTCCACTGTACATGATGCAACAACTGTATAATTATGATAAGTGAAGGAGCAAAGAGACAGAGGAAAAACCCGAAAGAAGAGAGAAAGAAGAGGTCACCTGTTGCTTGAAATACCTCCTCTCCTCCTCGTCCACCAGAACCAGGTTGACATAGTAACGAACAGATAATTTCTTGTTGACGTCCCGCATGGTGGGCGTGAGGTCGTACCCACTCAGGAACAGACGAATGGGAATTGACTCTCCTGCAGAATGGAATGGGGACACACACTAACCAACCACCTGGGGTGGGATCGGCCGACCAACACTGCAGACAAAGAAGTGTGCACATAGGATGTGTATCTATGTAGAGACAGTGGGAGGTTGTCAGTTGGTGAAAACAGCTAGCATACAGTGTTACTTGATGGAATCTCTGAACACCAGCTATGCTCAGTGCTAGTAGTGGACATCAAGTTAGTTTTACAGAAGTTGGTTCTTTCTCTTTCTCTCCATACATTATCAACCCACTGTGTAAAGGCCTGTTCACAAAGCTACGGTAGGCACTGCGGTGCGTAATGTACTATCGAATCTTGGCAACGTATAATTACGCAGAACCCCACCATTCCGTTGGCGTTAGCAGACACGTCCGCAGGCAATAGGCAAAGTTTGTATTCCAGTGTATGAGAGTATACTGTGCCATAGCACAGTGGTTTGAGGTTTGTCTTTGCGCTGTTTGAACCCCTACCAACTGAGTTGCCCTGGTAGCTAGCTCTGTTGGTAGAACGCTCACCTAGCCTGCAGAGTGTTATAGGTTCGAATCCCACCTATGGCAACTCTCCTTTTTTCCTTGACTAAGAAAGAGCTGTGATGTCCTGGGTGTAGTATGAGTTTGTTTAGTGAATGATGTAGTGTGAAGACTGGCAAAGGGATTTGGTAGAGGACTAAGAATGCAGCATTGTAAAACTGGTTATAAAACATGGAGGTTTTAGACTGCACATATAGTTATATAGTTGAGAGAACATTGAAGGCACTCAATGCAGTCACAACTCAAAACTGAGGTGCTGTCAGAGAGGGCAAATTACTTGTCTCATGTGCTTAGGAAATGAGTCATCAGCACACTCACGCTTCGTGACATACATGACTTGTGTTGAGTAAAAATTCCACGAGCAAGCAATGTCAGTTTGAAGTATATATGGAGCCATTATCAACTGTACTACTGCATCATATACACTAGGTCATCCCTGTCTTGTCTCCTTGCTTTTTATACCATCGCTATATTCACCACTTTCAATTCGAAGAATTTGTTTGTTTACTTATTAAATCTAAACTGAATTGCACATGCTTTCCATTGACACATCAGATATACATACATCAAGTAACAGTTCAAAGAACACACTATATACTATAAAAGCTAAAATCTTGTTTGCGCTTGCTCTGGACTAGGGCTACAGGCAAGATGAGAGTAAGTAAACATTCTTATGCTGGTGATACTAGTACATCAAGTAACCTAATACTTGCTTATGCTGGGTCCTCAACAATGAAACAATGAAACTTGGTGCACTTATTTACGGTGAAAGAAGAATGTGAACCACGACAAACAGGCTGAAAAGATACACACAGAATGCCACTAATACTATGCCTTGCACACCATGCACGTGAATGCAGTAAAAAAAATTAAAAATGGGATTGATTGCCCATCAATTGCAGTGTGTCAGTGTGATAGTGTACTGTGCCATAGCACAGTGGTTTGAGTTTGCCTTTGTGTTGTGTTGTGTTGTGTTGTGTTGTAGATTCGTACCCCTGAGTTGCCCTGGTAGCTCAGTTAGTAGAGCGCTCACCTAGACTGCAGAGTGTCACTATACTGCAGAGTGTCAGTAGATTGAGGACAGATCTATCCTAGGCATGTAGTTCACTTGACACATGCAACTTTTGATCACCCTGGGTAATGTGACTGGTCAGTCCAACAATCAGACCACCTGTTTCAGTATTCATGATCTCACTAGAATCTCCAAATAAGGTGAGGCATGAAATCTTAGACTGTGAATATTGGTAGTGTGACTGAAAAGTCAACGCAAGGGCTGTTTCCTGTCAGCCTCAGTTTCACCCATTTCTTGGAGTTAGCCCACCGCCTGTGCTTGCTTCTTTCTTGAGCAGCTTGCCTCAGTCTTCACTAGACCCTCTTTCTAGCTTGTCTTCTGCACTACTGACAGAGCCATGGCTGCCAAACCCTCCACTGCTGCCGAGAAAGCTCTCCAGAAGATCCAGGACCAGGTCACCTGTGGGATATGTCTGGAGCCCTACAAACAGCCAAGGCTGCTCAAGTGCTTCCACGTGTATTGCGAGCAGTGCCTGCAACGTCTGGTACGTGGGGGACGAGAGGGACAGAGTCTCCCATGTCCACAATGTCGCCAGGACACTCCACTGCCAGTGGGTGGAGTCCCGGGGCTCCAAGGAGCCTTCTACATCCACTACCTCTTTGACATCCAAGATGCCCTCAAGAAAGTGAGCTCCAGCGACCAAACCATGTGCAACAAGTGCAAGAAGTTCGAAGCGGTTTGTTTTTGTCGTACTTGCGGGTTTGCATGCCAGCGCTGCAAGGAAATCCATCAGGATTGGGATGAATTGAAAACCCACGAATTTATCGACCTAGACACCTTGACTGGAGACGTGACCACCCTCGTTCCTCCTCTCAAGAAGACTCTCTTTTGTGCCACTCATCCGTCAAAGAAGGCAAAGCTCTACTGCGAGACGTGCGACGAGTTGATATGTCGAGACTGCATCGTTCGTGTTCATCGCGACCACCAGTACGATCTGGTGCCCGAGTCGTTTGCCAAGCAAGAGAAAGTGATCGTGGACTCTCTCAAGCCAGTGGAAGAACAGATTGCTACGTTAGAAAGAGCCGTTGAGTCGGTGGACACTCAAAGTGCTGCAGTCGTAGAACAGAAGACGGCTGTGGTGGCAGAGATCCGGACTGCCATGGCACACCTGCGACAAGCTCTAGAGGCGAGGGAGACAGAGCTGGTGGGTCAAGCTGAGCAGACGGCACAGCAGAAACTGAAGACCTTGGCAGCACAGCGAGACGGGTTTGAACTGCAACTGGGCCAGCTGAGGAGCTGCCAGGACTTTGTGGAGGAGAGCCGACGTACTTGCAGCCAGGGGGAGATTCTGAGGATGAAGAGTCCTCTCGTGAAACAAGTCATCGACCTGACAGGCAGCTTCAAGCCAGAGACATTGGCTCTTGCCGAGCAAGCCGACATGGTGTTTGCTCACAGTCTGCCTGAGCTTGTGAAGACTTGCCAGCAGTTTGGTAAGGTGTACTGTCATCCAGTGTGCCCTGAGAAGTGTCGAGCCTCAGGTGAAGGAATCAAGGTAGCCACGAGAGGGCAAACAGTGGCTGTCTCTGTAGAGGCTTTAGATAGGGAGGGAGAAGCCTACCTCAGACCTGTAGACAGCTTGAGGTGTGAGCTAGTTGCTAGCGATGGCAGCAGTCGAGTCAGGGGCACTGTGAAGAGAAGAAATCAGAACATCTACGACATCAGCTACCAGCCTCAGGTCACTGGAGAACATCAACTACACATTCTAATAGAAGAGCACCCGATCTTGAACAGTCCGTTCACTGTCACCGTTCTACCCAACTTCACTGCCCCAGCCAACATCATTGGAGACCTCAATGCACCATATGGTATAGCAGTTAGGGAGGGAGGTGAGGTTGTAGTAGCGGAACGGGATAGTCACTGCATATCAATCATCAGTGGAAATGGAGAGAAGAAATCATTTGGTACTCTTGGCTCAGGTCCTGGTCAGTTCGACCATCCTGAAGGTGTAGCAATAGACAGCAAAGGAAACATTCTTGTGGCAGAGTATGGCAACCATCGTATTCAGCAGTTTTCATCCACTGGCAAACACCTCAGAACAGTCGGTACCCAGGGCAGTGGACCTCTTCAGTTCCAGTATCCTGGAGGTATGGCTGTTCATCCTCACACTGGCAAGGTGTATGTTGCTGACTGTGGCAACCACAGAATTCAGGTTCTGAACTCTGACCTCACATACTCCAGTAGTTTTGGTAGGAAGGGCTCTAACAATGGAGAGTTTGACTATCCTTATGATGTAGCTACAGACAGAGATGGCAATGTGTATGTAGCTGATAAGGACAACCACAGAATCCAGGTCTTCACAGTCGATGGAGTCTACTTGAGGCAGTTTGGGAAGGAGGGAGAAGGAGAGGGAGAACTAAACGATCCAGTCAGTATCGCTATTGACTCTGGCAATGTAGTGTATGTTAGTGAACTGGGGAACGATCGTATATCAATATTCTCTACTGATGGAGAGTTTATCAAGTCATTTGGAAGAGAGGGAAAAGGTCTTGCGGAGTTCAATTGTCCATATGGACTAGCAGTAGACAAGAAAGGAACACTGTATGTCAGTGACTTTCGGAACAATTGTATACAGATCTTCACCTAATAACACAACAATGTCTTTTGTAGTAATTAATTTTGAACAAAAAAACTGGGGAAGAGCAATGTTGTATAGTGCATATGATGTACTCACCTGAGCCCGGAAATGGTTGCATAAACTGTTTATACAGGCACCACATATTTAACTTATGGCATACTTTTCTCTATGGGACATACAGCTAACGTTTTAGTAATAAGGTTCTATGGTTAGTGAAGGATACCATCTGAACTGGAAAGGTGCAAGGATTCCAATGGTGTTAGCATTTTTACAATTGGATGTAAAAAAATTATGACAATTTTTGAGGGCTCAGGTGAAGCCAAATGGACTTTAGGTTGAGGGCTACCTACCACTATATACAAACCACATACAAAGTATTAAAACCAAGTATTAAAACCTCCATAATTATATATTTCTGCTTATGGAGCTCTGGATACATTTATGTGTCCGTGGCTGGTTTTACCTAACAGCGTGTGGCTGTGGTACAATGCAACTGGCTTGAATTTCACATAACATCGAGAGCATGCGCTGCAACCTTCGCTGACTGACGGAGGCTGTACCTCTTCCCAATCTTCATGGTTCGAAGGTGCAACTTGGAAATAAGCTAGGATTGCTCGTGCAGATACTCCTGCATGCCCAGTTGATTTGAGCATTACTTTGCCAAGATGTGAGCGTTATCAAAAGTCAAAATTCAAAATTAGGTTTATTGTGTATATCGTTATCTTTCTCTCCAAACCTCATTGCAACTCTCAGACATGCAAAGACTGGTAGTTAGCTGGGACACATACTGTCTTAGCCACATGGCCAGTAGGGAAATACAGTGGAACCTCCGATAGGGACCCTCCGAGATAGGGACGACCTCTCTACAAAGGACACTTGTTTCAACCCCATGCTAATACTTTAGTGTATTATTTGACCTCCGAGATAGGGACGACCTCTCTACAAAGGACACCTGCATGCTTTAGTGGATTATTTGACCTCCGAGATAGGAACAACCTCTCTATATGCAAGGTATAAAATAAATTGGTCCCGTAGTGTCCCTTGTTCGGAGGTTCCACTGTACTTCACTGTCCATAGTAAATGTATGTATGTGTACCTCTGACAGGAGCACCATCCATGATCTCATACTTGGCTACCTGCTCATTCTCAGTATAGATATTGGGAGCTGAGGAAAGAGGGAGGGAGGGAGGGAGAGAGGGAGAGAGAGGGGGAGAGGAGGGAGGGGGGGGGGGGGGAGAAGAGAGAGATAGAGTAAACGTTGTTAACATGTGCCTTTGTGTGCATGTTTTCGATTCCAGAGTAACATGGCTGCTAATAAATTTGAGGTAACCCACTAAAGATTAACCACTAACGTAATTTTGAGTCAAGACAATGGACAATGCAAAGCATGCACACATATTTAGCCATATCGACACGCAAATGAACCATGTGATGCCAAGAGAAAAAAAGATGTGGAGCTCTGGACAGCTGTTTCAGGCTTGTTTGCCCTCATCAGCAGAGCATACCACAACGTCTCTCTCTGGCGTCACGAGTTTATAAAGGTTGACATGAGCGCAGCACCTGTGGTTCAGAACTAATGAGATTCACCCACAAGGCTTTGCCACTGGTATGTGCTGCTGACCATGCCCAGACATTCGTGGTTTACACTAGGCTCCTCCCCACTCCTGCTGGTCCAAGGCCAGCACCGAGCCAGAACCCGAATTCACGGTTGGGCCGCGGCAATGAAGCCAGCATGCACAGTGAGGGTTGCAGTAGTTGGTTTGTCTGCCTGTCTGTCCGACGCTTATTCTATGGGGTGGTATTTATGGGGTGGTATTCGTGTCAGTATTCAAACGTCGATTTTGCCGAGGCATTTCCGTTTTGCCGCGGCAAAATTAAACTGCCGCGGCAATTGCCCCGGCAAAACCTGGGCCGAAAAATCCGGGACATTTGCCGCGGCAAGAATAACTAGCTGGGCCATGTTCAATCGTGTCAGTATTCTTGTCGTTGCCGGGCCTTTTGCCGCGGCAAAAGTGCTCTTGCCTCGGCAAATTGCCATTTGCCGCGGCAATAGACCAGTTTCACACTCACAGTGGGCGGAGATAATTGAACGTGACGTCACATCCGGAGTCCCGTTCTGGCTCCAGCAATGTATTGAGAAACTGGAACCGTCCGTACTTAGAGCGGCGCAGCACGTAGCTCTTAGGAACAAGCTAGAGCGTCCGTTCTTTTTCTCACGCATGTACTATATACAGTTACTGCAATATCGCAAAAGTAACTTATAAATAGAGCATACCGTAAGAGCTACGTGCTGCGCCGCTCTAAGAAGTTTAATTTTGCCGCGGCAAAACGGAAAAGCCTTGGCAAAATCGACGTTTGAATACTGACACGAATACCACCCCATAGTGTATCGACTCCTGCATGCTATCTACTAGTGTAGCTAGCCCGCGTCAGACTCTCCGCGAGCTACTAGCGTGGAGACCACAAGTAGCCGCATACTCGACTCTTGGCCAAACCCATCAATTAGCGGTACCGCACATGCGCAGAGTTTGCAGTTTCAGTACTTTTCATTTCAGCTGGGTTTACGTGTTTCACATACATAATTATGCACATAAGGTACACGGACAACCCATGTTTTATGCCTTGCTCCCCCTTCCCGCGACACTGCCTACACGAAGTCTTTTCAACCATCAAATTGAATTTATTCTCAACCCTTTTTGGAATGTTTCTGCCTCCGAATGTGAATAAGAAAAGGCGACAAGATTACTGCTCCCAATTCCACTCCACCTGCCGTCTGCTGACGACAATGACTAAGAACTTGCAGCGGCGGCAGTGACAGCTGAGTAGTAGTAGGATGGCAGCTGCTATCTCTACGTGCCACTGCAGATCATGCCACTGCAGTGTACTTGAGTAAATCTTTACTTGATGGGCAATGCATGCTTGCCCTAGAGACACACTATATACCTACTTGTGTGTGTTCCACTGGAACATTGCCAAGATATGTTACAGCATGCATGTACACAAAACTAAGACAGTGTAAGCAGGCAGACAACATGGCGTTTAGTCCGACTTTATCACCAGTACAAGGTGAGATTGGGAGCGAACTCAGGGGAAAAGAAGATTTTCTGGAACAAGCTCGAGATAGGGGGAAAAGACAAGCACGGAGCAGACAAGAGGGAAAATAACGAAATTTTGGAGCAAGATGTAGGGGGACACAACGAGGACAAGAGCGAGATGGTGAAAGAGGAAACGTTGGAGCGAGATAGGGGAATAATGGAGTGAGATTATAGAGAGCAGACAAAAGGTTTGAATGTACTAGTTTTGGTGTAGAAAAGGCCAAGTAACCTCAAAGATAGCCAAAACCTCCACACCAGTCAATGTTACATGAACCAATCACTCATTCACAAACAGTACATTTACCACACATCACATTCACACAGCATAGACCAGCTAAAAAGTAGTATATACCTATTGCTATAGAGTGCAGGTAGTGTATATAAGTGTAAATAGTGTGCCTATTGTTCATTTGTAGAGACTATTTCTTGACAGACTTTCTGGCTGCTTTTGGGTCAGCTTTTCTCCACAGGACTACTCCTGGGGAGAGCAGAGGGGGAAGGAAGGGGGAGGGAGGGTAGGGAGAGTGAGATAGTGATACTGGAGGATAGGAAGATGGTACGGACGTACTGACCATAAGCTATAAACTAGGAGACAAATAAGTGGGAAAATGAGAACAAATCCTTTTGGTATTGCTAGTCAATTGCATCAAGCTTAGGCACTCGCTCAATTCAAACAATTGCCTCAAAGCAGCAGTTCTCGAATGGAACTCAACCCGTGAAATGAGGACACCTTGCTAATGGCCACCTCTTTCGTGCATTTTGTGTCGTGTTTCCACTGTACATGATGCAACAACTGTATAATTATGATAAGTGAAGGAGCAACGAGACAGAGGAAACAGATGAGAAAGAAGAGAGAAGAAGAGAGAAAGAAGAAGAAAGAAGAAAGAAAGAGAGGTCACCTGTTGCTTGAAGTACCTCCTCTCCTCCTCGTCCACCTGAAACCAGGTTGCCATAGTAACGCACAAACGAGATGTTTCCATTGTTAGATTGACGTCGCCGCATGGTTGGTGTGAGGTCGTACCCACTCAGGAACAGACGACGTGGGAATTGACTCTCTAGCAGAATGGAATGGACCAACACACTAGCTTCACCAACTGGGGTGGCATCGGCCAACCAACACTGCAGACAAGAGTGTGCACAAGCTGTGTATCTATGTAGAGACAGTGGGAGGCAGTTGTCCAGTGGTGAAAACATCGAGCACATACGGTAGTACTTGATGGAATGCTCTGACACCAGCTAGGCTGCAGTGCTAGTGTGAGTGGACATCAAGTTTAGTTTTTACAGAGAGTTGTGTGCTTCGCTTTCTCTCCAATCATTATCATCAATCAAACAACCCACAATAAGAACACTGTATGTCAGTATGACTTTCGAACAATGTATACGAGCTCTCACCTAGTAACACACAATGTCGTTTTGTAGTAATTACTTGTGTGAACACAAAAACAGGGGAAGAGCAAGTGTTTGTAGAGTGCATATGATGTACTACACCGTGAGCCGCGAATGGTTGTGTAAACACTGTTTATACAGGGCACCGGACATATTTACTATGGCATACTTTTCCGCTAGGTAGCATCCAGCTACCGTTTTAGTAATAAGGTGTCTATGGTTAGGGAAGATACCATCAGAACTGGAACAGGTGTGAGGATCCAATGGTCATTAGCATTTTTACAATTGGAGATGTACAAAAAATTCTGACAATTTTTGAGGGCTTCAGGTCACTCGGTGACAGCCAACTGACTTAGTTGAGGGCTACTCTACCGACTATATCCAAACCACATCACAAGTATTAAAACTCAAGTATATAAAACCTCCATATTATATATTTCTGCTTATGGAGCTCTGGATACATTTATGTGTCCGGTCAGTGACTTCGGAACAACAATTGTATACAGATCTTCACCTAATCACACAACAATGTCTTTGTGTAGTAATAATTTTGACAAAAAAACAGGGGACGAGCAATTGTTTGTATAGTAGGCATGATGATTGTACACGCTCACCTGAGCCGGAAATGTGTTGTGTAAACTGTTATACGGCACACATATTTAACTATGGCATGACTTTTCGCTATGGGACATCCAGCTACGTTTTAGTAATAAGGTTCTATGGTAGTGAAGGATCGCATCGAGAACTGGAAAGGTGTGAGATCCAATGGTATTAGCATTTGTTTACACATGGCTGTAAAAAATCTATGACAATTTTGAGGTGGCGCAGGTGAAGCCAATGTGACTTTAGGTTGAGGCGACCGTCCATCCTATATACAAACACATACAAAGTATTAAAACCAGTATTAAAACCTCCATAATATTTCTGCTTATGGAGCTCTGGATACATTTTATGTGTCCGTGGTGGTTTTATCTAACAGCGTGTGGCTGTGGTACAATGCACTGGCTTGAATTTCACATAACATCGAGAGCATCGCCTGCAACCTTCGCTGACCCTTCCCAATCTCATGGTTTCGAAGTTGCAAACTTGGAAATAGCTAGGATTGCTGTTCAGATACTCCTGCATGCCCAGTTGATTTGGCAATTACTTGCCAAGACGTGAGCGTTACAAAAGTCAAAACTCAAAATTAGTTTATTGTGTATAATCGTATCTCCTCCTCTCAAACACAACCCTCATTGCACCTCTCGACATTGCAAGACTGGTAGTAGCTGGGGCACATAATGTCTTAGCACATGGACCGTAGGGAAATACAGTGGAACCTCCGATAGGGGACTCCGAGTAGGGACGACCTCTCTACAAAGGACACTTGTTTAACCCCATGCTAATACTTTAGTGTATTATTTGACCTCCGAGATAGGGACGACCTCTCTACAAAGGACACCTGCATGCTTAGTGGATTCTTTGCCTCCGAGATAGGAACAACTCTCTATATGCAAGGTATATAAAATACATTGGTCCCGTAGTGTCCCTTGTTGCGGAGGGTCCACTGTACTTCACTGTCCATAGTAAATGTATGTATGTGTACCTCTGACAGGAGCACCATCCCCACATGATCTCAGGTACTTGGCTACCTGCTCATTCTCCGTATAGATATTGAGGAGATGAGGACAGAGAGGGAGAGGAGAGAGGGAGAGAGACGAGAGGAGGGATTTATTGACGGAGAGTGGGTGGAGCGAGACCGGGTAGTATGTGGTGTGAGGAGGTCGGGGTGGGTGGCGGCGAGCGAGAAGAGAGAGTATAGAGTAAACGTTGTGAACATGTGCCTTGCGGCATTGTTCGATGCCAGAGAACATGGTATGCTATAAATTGAGGTAAACCACGAAAGTGAACCACTAACGTAGTTGAGATGAGTCAAGACAAGGGACAATGCAAAGCATTGCACACATATTAGCCATTACTCGACACGCATGTTGTGAAATGAACATTGTGATGCCAAGAGAAAGAAAAAAGAGTTTGTGGAGATCTGGGACAGCTGTTTCAGGCTTGTTTGGCCCTCATCAGCAGAGACATACCACAACGTCTCTCTCTAGGCGCGGCACGAGTTATAAAGGTTGACATGAGCGCAGACCTGTGGTTCAGAACTAAGAGATTCACCCAAAGCTTTTGGCCACTGGTATGTGCTGTGACCATGCCCAGACATTCGTGGTTTACACTAGGCTCCACCCCACTCCTGCTGGTCAAGGCCAGCACCGAGCCAGAACCCGAATTCAGGTTGGGCCGCGCATGAAGACAGCATGCACAGTGAGGTTGCAGTAGTGGTTGTTGCCTGTCTGTCCGAAGCTATCTATGGGGTGGTATTATGGGGTGTATTCGTGTCGTATTTCAAACGTCGATTTTGCAAGGCATTTCGTTTTGCCGCGGCAAAAAGTAAACTGCCGCGGCAATGCCACGGCAAAACCTGGGCCGAAAAATCCGGACATTTGCGCGGCAAGAATAACTAGCTGGGCATGTTCAATCGTGTCAGTATCTTGTCGTTGCCGGGCCTTTTGCCGCGCAAAGTGCTCTGCTCGGCAAAATTGCCATTGCCGCGGCAATAGACCAGTTTCACACTCACAGTGGTTTTATGCCTTGCTCCCCCTCCCCTCGACACTGCCTACACGAAGTCTTTTCAACCATCAATTGATTTATTCTCAACCCTTTTTGGAGAACAATGCAATGTTTCTGCCTCCGAATGTGAATAAGAAAAGGCGGCAAGATTACTGCTCCCGATTCCACTCCACCTGCCGTCTGCTGACGACAATGACTAAGAACTTGCAGCGGCGGCAGTGACAGCTGAGTAGTAGTAGGATGGCAGCTGCTATCTCTACGTGCCACTGCAGATCATGCCACTGCAGTGTACTTGAGTAAATCTTTACTTGATGGGCAATGCATGCTTGCCCTAGAGACACACTATATACCTACTTGTGTGTGTTCCACTGGAACATTGCCAAGATATGTTACAGCATGTATGTACACAAAACTAAGACAGTGTAAGCAGGCAGACAACATGGCGTTTAGTCCGACTTTATCACCAGTACAAGGTGAGATTGGGAGCGAACTCAGGGGAAAAGAAGATTTTCTGGAACAAGCTCGAGATAGGGGGAAAAGACGAAGCACGGAGCAAGACAAGAGGGAAAATACGAAATTTTGGAGCAAGATGTAGGGGGACACAACGAAGGAACAGAGCGAGATGGTGAAAAAGAGGAAACGTTGGAGCGAGATAGGGGAATAATGGAGTGAGATTATAGAGAGCAGACAAAAGGTTTGAATGTACTAGTTTTGTGTAGAAAAGGCCAAAGTAACCTCAAAGGATAGCCAAAACCTCCACACCAGTCAATGTTACATGAACCAATCACTCATTCACAAACAGTACATTTACACACACATCACATTCACACAGCAAGACCAACTAAAAAAAGTAGTATATACCTATTGCTATAGAGTGCAGGTAGTGTATATAAGTGTAAATAGTGTGCCTATTGTTCATTTGTAGAGACTATTTCTTGACAGACTTTCTGGCTGCTTTTGGGTCAGCTTTTCTCCACAGGACTATCTCCTGGGGAGAGAGAGGGGGAAGGAAGGGGGAGGGAGGGAGGGAGAGGGAGAGAGTGAGAACGGGGGAGGAGAGGAAGAGGACGGACGTACTGAACCATAAGCTATAAAACTAGGAGACAAATAAGTGGGAAAATGAGAACAAATCCTTTTGTATTGCTAGTCAATTGCATCAACGTAGGCACTGCTCAATTCAAACAAATTGCCTCAAAGCAGCAGTTCTCGAATGGAACTCAACCCGTGAAATGAGGACACCTTGCTAAATGGACACCTCTTTCGTGCCATTTTGTGTCGGTTCCACTGTACATGATGCAACAACTGTATAATTATGATAAGTGAAGGAGCAACGAGACAGAGGAAACCCCCAAAGAGAGAAAGAAGAGAGAAAGAAAGAAGAAGAAGAAGAAAGAAAGAAGAGGTCACCTGTTGCTTGAAGTACCTCCTCTCCTCCTCGTCCACCAGAACCAGGTTGACATAGTAACGAACAGAGAATTTCTTGTTGACGTCCCGCATGGTGGGCGTGAGGTCGTACCCACTCAGGAACAGACGAATGGGAATTGACTCTCCTGCAGAATGGAATGGGGACACACACTAGCTAACCACCTGGGGTGGCATCGGCCAACCAACACTGCAGACAAAGAAGTGTGCACATAGGATGTGTATCTATGTAGAGACAGTGGGAGGTTGTCAGTCGCGAAAACAGCTAGCAATACAGTAGTACTTGATGGAATCTCTGAAACACCAGCTATGCTCAGTGCTAGTAGTGGACATCAAGTTAGTTTTACAGAAGTTGGTTCTTTCTCTTTCTCTCCATACATTATCAACCCACTGTGTAAAGGCCTGTTCACAAAGTTACGGTAGGCACTGCTGTGCGGCACGGTGCGTAATGTACTATCGAATCTTGGCAACGTATAATTACGCAGAACCCCACCATTCCGTTGGCGTTAGCAGACACGTCCGCAGGTGATAGGCAAAGTTTGTATTCCAGTGTATGAGAGTATACTGTGCCATAGCACAGTGGTTGAGGTTTGTCTTTGTGTTGTTTGAACCCCTACCATCTGAGTTGCCCTGGTAGCTAGCTCAGTTGGTATAAGAGCACTCGCCTAGACAGCAGAGTGTTATAGGTTCAAATCCCATCCAGGGCAGCTCTTCTTTTTTCTTTTCCTCGGAAAAGAAAGAGCTGTGCTGTCCTGGGTGTAGTATGAGTTTGTTTAGTGAATGATGTAGTGTGAAGTTATAGTTATATATAGTTAGTTGAGCAAACATTGAAGGAACACAATGCAGCCACAACTCAAAACCGAGGAGCTGTCAGAGAGGGCAAAAGTGAGTTGCCCTAGAACCCTCGCCTAGACTGCAGAGTGTTATAGGTTCGAATCCCACCTAGGGCAGCTCTCCTTTTTTCCTCGGAAAAGAAAGAGCTGTGCTGTCCTGGTGTAGTATGAGTTTGTTTAGTGAATGATGTAGTGTGAAGACTGGCAAAGGTGATTTGGTAGAGGACTAAGAATGCAGCATTGTAAAACTGGTTATAAAACTGGAGGTTTTAGACTGCCCATATAGTTGTATAGTTGAGCGAACATTGAAGGCACTCAATGCAGTCACAACTCAAAACCGAGGAGCTGTCAGAGAGGGCAAACATACTTGTCTCATGTGCTTAGGAAATGAGTCATCAGCACACTCATGCTTCGTGACATACATGGCTAGTGTTGAGTAAAAATTCCATGAGCAAGCAATGTCAGTTTGAAGTATGGAGCCATTATCCATTCTACTACTGCATCACATACACTAGGTCATCCATGTCTTGTCTCCTTGCTTTTTATACCATCTCTATATTCACCACTTTTTTGTTTGCTTAAACTGAATTGCACATGCTTTCCATTGACACATCAGATATACATACATCAAGTAACAGTTCAAAGAACACACTATATACTATAAAAGCTAAAATCTTGTTTGCGCTTGCTCTGGACTAGGGCTACAGACAAGATGAGAGTAAGTAAACATTCTTATGCTGGTGATACTAGTACATCAAGTAACCTAATACTGATTATGCTAGGTCCTACAATGAAACAATGAAACTTGGTGCACTTATGTATTACGGTGAAAGAAGAATGTGAACCACGACAAACAGACTGACACAAAAGGCCACTAATGCTTGGGCATTATGCCTTGCACACTATGCATGTGAATGCAGTAAAAGATTTAACAATGGGATTGATTGCCCAGCCAATCAATTGCAGTGTATGTGATAGTGTACTGTACCATAGCACATTGTTTGAGGTTTGAGATGTGTTGTGTTGTGTTGTGTTGTAGATTCGAACCCCTACCATCTGAGTTGCCCTGGTAGCTCAGTTGGTAGAGCGCTAGCCTAGACTGCAGTGTCACGTATACAGCAGATTGTCAGTAGATTGAGGACAGATCTATCCTAGGCATGTAGTTCACTTGACACATGCAACTTTTGATCAGTACCCTGGGTAATGTGATTGGTCAGTCCAACAATCAGACCACCTGTTTCAGTATTCATGATCTCACTAGACTCTCCAAATAAGGTGAGGCATGAACCAGTCTACAAATCAGACTGTGAATATTGGTAGAGTGACAGAAAAGTCAAGGGCTGTTTCCTGTCTTTTGAGCAGCTTGATTGCCTCAGTCTTCACTAGACCCTCTCTCTAGCTTGTCTACTGCACTACTGACAGAGCCATGGCTGCCAAACCCTCCACTCCTGCCGAGAAAGCTCTCCAGAAGATCCAGGACCAGGTTACCTGTGGGATATGTCTGGAGCGCTACAAACAGCCAAGGCTGCTCAAGTGCTTCCACGTGTATTGCGAGCAGTGCCTGCAACGTCTGGTACGTGGGGGACGAGAGGACAGAGTCTCCCATGTCCACAATGTCGCCAGGACACTCCACTGCCAGTGGGTGGAGTCCCGGGCTCCAGGAGCCTTCTACATCCACTACCTCTTTGACATCCAAGACGCCCTCAAGAAAGTGAGCTCCAGCGACCAACCATGTGCAACAAGTGGCAAGAAGTTCGAAGCGGTTTGTTGTCGCACTTGCGGGTTTGCATGCCAGCACTGCAAGGAAATCCATCAGGATTGGGATGAATTGAAAACCCACGAATTATCGACCTAGGACACCTTGACTGGAGATGTCACCACCCTCGTCTCCTCTCTCAGAAGACTCTCTTTTGTGCCACTCATCCTCGTCAAAGAAGGCAAAGCTCTATTGCGAGACGTGCGACGAGTTGATATGTCGAGACTGCATCGTTCGTGTTCATCGCGACACACCAGTATGATCTGGTGCCCGAGTCGTTGCCAAGCAAGAGAAGTGATTGTGGACACTATAAAGCCAGTGGAAGAACAGATTGCTACGTTGGAAAGAGCCGTTGAGTCGGTGGACATCAAAGTGCTGCAGTCGTAGTACAGAAGACGGCTTGGGTGGCAGAGATCGCGCACTGCCATGGCACACCTGCGACATTAGCTCTAGAGGCGTAGGGAGACAGAGCTGGTGGGTCAGCAGAGCAGACGGCAGCAGCAGAAACTGAAGACCTTGGCAGCACAGCGAGACGGGTTTGAACTGCAAATGGGGACATCTGAGGAGCTGCCAGGACTTGTGGAGGAGAGCCGACGTACTTGCAGCCAGGGGGAGATTCTGAGGATGAAGAGTCCTCTCATGAAACAAGTCAACGACCTGACAGGTCAGCTTCAAGCCAGAGACATGGCTGCTTGCCGAGCAAGCGACCTGTAAGTTTGCTCACAATCTGCCTGAACTGGGAACTTGCCAGCAGTTGGTAAGGTGTACTGTCATCGAGTGTGCCCTGAGAAGTGTCGAGCCTCAGGTGAAGCCATCAATGTAGCACGGGAGGGCAAACAGTGGTTGTCTCTGTACGAGCTTTAGATACGAAGGAGGAGCATACTCAGACCTGTAGACAGCTTGAGGTGTGAGCTAGTTGCTAGCGATGGCAGCAGTCAAGTCGGGGCACTGTGAAGAGAGAAATCAGAACATCTACGACATCAGCTACCAGCCTCAGACCACTGGAGGACATCAATGCACATTCTAATAGAAGAGCACCCGATCTTGAACAGTCCGTTCACTGCACCGTGTCTACCGAACTTCACTGTCCCAACCACATCATTGGAGACCTCAAGTTACCGTATGGTATAGCAGTTAGGAGGGAGGTGAGGTTGTAGTAGCAGAACGGAGTTAGTCACTGCATATCAATCATCAGTGGAAATGGAGAGAGAACATCATTTGGTACTCGTGGCTCAGGTCGTGGTCAGTTCATCTTCCTGAAGGTGTAGCAATAGGCAATGGAGGAAACATTCTTGTGGCTGACTATGGCAACCATCGTATTACAGCAGTGGTCGTCCACTGGCAACCACTCAGAACAGTCGGTACCAGGCAGTGGACCTCTTCAGTTCCAGTATCCTGGAGTATGGCTTTTCATCCTCACACTGGCAAGGTGTATGTTGCTGACAGTTGCAACCACAGAATTCAGGTTCTGAACTCTGACCTCACATACTCCAGTAGTTTTGGTAGGGAGGGCTCTAACAATGGAGAGTTCAGTTATCCTTGTGATGTAGCTACAGACAGAGATGGCAATGTGTATGTAGCTGTTCGTCACAACCACAGAATCCAGGTCTTCACAGTCGATGGAGTCTACTTGAGGCAGTTTGGGAAGAAGGGAGAAGGAGAGGGCGAACTAAACTGGCCAGTCAGTATCGCTATTGGCTCTAGCAATGTGGTGTATGTTGGTGAATACGGGAACAATCGAATATCAATATTCTCTACTGATGGAGAGTTTATCAAGTCATTTGGTAGAGAGGGAAAAGGTCCTGTGGAGTTCAGTAGTCCATTTGGACTAGCAGTTGACAAGAAAGGAACACTGTATGTCAGTGATTGTGGGAACCATCGTATACAGATCTT